GGGTTTGGGTTCTTGTGCCTCCTTTTCCAGAGATCAATAATTACTAACCACAGATATCACTTGAATCTCATTTAAATGAACTGGGCCATTTTGACTTCTAGGTGGGTGTGTTGGATAGTTTTAAATCAACCTGTCACATGCTAACGTCATCCGAGGGGTGGAAGCCTGGATTGAGAAGTTGCCTCCATGAGATCTGGCTGTACACAAGTCTGTAAGGCATCTTCTCAATTAGTAATTGATGGAGGAGGGCCTAGCCTGTTGTGGGTGGTGCCATCCCTGGGCTGGTGGTCCTGGGTTTTATAAGAAAGCAGGCTGAGAAAGCCATGAGGAGTGAGCCAGTGAGCAGTGTAACGTGTAGTTTTCCTCCGCCAGCCCCTTTGGTTTTTCCCCCGGCCAGCCGCTTGGGCTCTGCCACAGTTGCAGTCCCCAAATAACACACAGGAGCTATATTAATTATTAGCTTGTTTCTTACTGGCTAACCCATAATTGTTAATCTAAGTATTTCTCTTACCGGAGAAAAGGGTCCAGACATCTTACTTCTCTGGCAGGCTACATTGTCTCTGCCACGTCTTTCTTTCCCAGAATCCTCCTCAACTCCTAGTCCCACCTATCTTGCTTGCCTATTGGCCAACAGTGCTTTATTGACATATACACAGGACTTCCCCATCAAAAGAAGCACCCCTCCATGGTCTCTGCATCGGCTCCTGCCTCCAGGTTTCTGCCCTGCTCAAGTTCCTGGCTTGACTTCTTTCGGTGATGAACAATGATATTGAAGAGTAAGCCTAATAAACTCTTTCCAAGTTACTTTGGTCATGGTGTTTTATCATAGCAGTAGAATCCCTAAGACAGTCTGCTTTAACAACCTGAGTCAGGGGGCTGGGGAGACAGATCCAGGGGTTAAGAGTACTTGCTGCTCTTGCAGAGGACCTAGGTTTAATTTCCATTGCCCACAACCATTCCATTCCCAGGGGGATCCAACACTGTCTCCTGGCCTCTCCAGGCACTAGGCATGTACATGCCACACAGACATACATGCAAGCAGAGATTCACACACATAAATCGACCTTTCTAGAAACCCGAGACTGACATCCTAAGTATGTGACCAAAGTCCTGCATATCTGCCCAGGTCCCTGAGAACTTAGAAAAGAATTTTCTTGCCTATTTAAGGACAAGTTAGAAACATTGTTTCGGGATTAAAACATCATGTGTGTTACTTTTTTTCACTTTTGAAAAGCTGAAACAGTTCTGTCCTGGTTCTCGTGACAGGCTCCATACTTACATGTGTGAGAGGTAGATAAACCCTTGATCCACACATACACACGTCAGACGCACTTGTCAGAGTGGAGATGGGCAGGGGACGGCTGCCTGAGTCTCTTCTCATGGACCTGCCACTCTGGTGTCCCCCCCACTCCCCTTTCTCTGTACCATCAATTCCAGAGCTCAGCCTGTGTGTGGGAGGGATTATGGTGATGGGAGTGGAGCCTAACCCTCTCTATCCTGGTGTCAGTTTAGGGCCGGCCATGCTGTATACTGGGTTTTAGTGATGTTTGCAGTGGGCGGGGATCCCAATGCCATCCAACATTTTAAATTTGGGCGTGAGCATTTTAGTGGCATTCTGGTTCACGCGTCAGTTCTGCGCAGTAAGAGGGTGTGTTAGCCAACCTTTCTACTTTGCATCCTCAGGATGTGTATGGTGGGGAGGGCAAGGGCAGTGAGAAAGTTCGGGGAGCCCCAGGGCAGCGGGAGAGTGTTTCCCCGTGCTGTCTCAGGACAGCAGCCGGTGTTGTCTGCCTGCAGGAGTGGGGTGAGCTTGTCTGCACACAAAATGGCTGTTGTGGCCGCTGTCAAATCCATCACAGGCTTGCTGGAGCACAGCTGTTTTACACAGCGCCGCTAAGTATTTCTGAAGGCTCTTTCAGTCCCAAGTTGGGGCAGCTCCCGTCTGTGGTGGGTTTCAAACGAAGCTCAGCAAACAGGCTTTTCCCAAGCAGATCAAATAGCACTCACTGAAAGTGTGGCTGCATACGTGTGCAGACATGTGCCCACAGGCTCCATAGCACTCACTGAAAGTGTGGCTGTGTGTGCATGCGTGTGCAGACATGTGCCCACAGGCTCCATAGCACACACTGGAGGCTGTGTTGAAAAGCGCCTCCCCACCACACACTCGTTAAAACCATGTGCTAAACCAGTGTTCGGCGACCTTGTTTCTGGAAATTGGACTCTGCCCAGAGGTGGGAGAGTTGGGGAAAGTTTGAGGCAAATTTATGTGGCTGTTTTCTGTGGTGAGCAGGATGGAAAAAAATCCATAAAAATGAGCACCACATTTCTCTGGTTTTCTTGGAATGTGAAACCACATTTCTCTGGTTTTCTTGGAACACAAAAGTGGCTGACTTTGTCTCGTGCTTCAGAAGTTCTCTTGGGCTGGATGGTATATATGTCTGGAATATAGGAAGAGTGGGTGGGCTGCAGTTTCGAGGGGTCGACATCTAGGACAAGATGGGCAAGCTGCACTCCAGGCCTGTCCTGCATCTGGGTCTGTCTGTCTGTCTGTCTGTCTGTCTGTCTGTCTGTCTGTCTGTCTGTCTGTCTGTCTGTCTGTCTCTCTGGCCACACTGGGGACTGAACCTCTGACCTCATGCGTGCCAGGCAACCCTCTATCCACTAAGCTACACTCTCAGTCCTGTTTCCACTCTTTGTTTCTAGACAGAGACTCACTAAGTTGCCCAGTTAGGTCTTCAATTTGTGATCCTCCTGCCTCCACCTCCAGAGGAGCTGGGAGGGCAGGCCCCAGGCCACCAGGCTCAGATCACCCTTTTCACCAGAAGATGTAAGTTCAGTCATCTGACTTTTCAGCTTTGAAAAGTTCCCGAAAACCATCATTCAAAATCACACTTACAACATTTGCACTGTTTTTTGTTTTTTTTGGGGATTGTCCCTACTATAGCTCAGGCTTGCTACGGTCTCACTATATAATAGAGGATAACATGAACTCCTTACCCTTTTGTGTCTCTGTATGAGGATTAGATCTACAGGCACGTGTCACAGCCTGGGGCTGGAAGACAAGAGCCTCACGCATGCTGGGCAAGCTCTCTGTCAGCGGAACTGCAGACACAGCTCAGGAGGACACCTTACTTTGCACGTGTATACTAAACGTGGCTCACGCACGATTCCATTATACTCATGGTGACCTTGAGAAGCAGCCACTGCTCCAGTTTCACGTGCAAAGGACCGGTGACACAGAGCTCCAGACGTTAAGCCGGGCTGGCGCATGGCCGTTTAATATTAAAGCCCAAGGGCTGGAGAGGTGGCTCAGCAGTTGAGAGGACCCAGGTTCAGTTTTCAGCTCGCCATGGTTGCTCACAACTGTCTGTGACTCCACCATCTCCTGCAGGCACTATACACACACACACACACACACACACACACACACACACACACACACGGTGCGCATGTACATATGCAGGCAAAAAAAAGAGACTGCACATATAAAATAACATGAAAAAAACCCTGCCTTTTTCCTTTTCTTTATTTTTGGTAGAGCTACGGATCACACCAAAGGCCAGGCACACGCCAGGGAAGCTCTCTCCTGTTGAGACATGTTCATCTCTTTACGGCAGTCTTTTGCGTTGCGTGTGCTTATGCTGAGCGTGTGGGCATGTGCGGTCAGAGGGTAACCTTGTAGAGTTGGCTCTCTCCTTCCACCTTCACGTGGCGATAAAACTCGTATCCCAAGACTCGCAACACTAGTGACAAGCGGCTTTACTCACAGAACCATCTTGCTGGCCCTTTATCGTGGTTTGAAAAAAAATTTATCTTTGTATGGGTTTATATGCATCTGACGCATGTGTGCCTGTGTGTATGAGTTCAGGCACTGCTGCGCCACCGGGGATGTGTAGACGTTAGAGGCTAACCTCCCGTGTTGGACCTCGGGTTCCGCCCGGAGTAGGGTCTTTTGCTCACTCCTGTGCATTTCAGGGTAGCTGGCCTTCAGGCTTTTAGGGATTCCCCTGCCTCTGCCTCTCCCCTCTCCGTAGGACGCTGGGGTGACAGATGCGGGCTAGCATGGCTTTATGTGGGTGCTGGGATCTGAACTTGGGTCCCTCATGCTTCCACAGCAAGTGGTCTTGTCCGCCGAGTCCTCCCTCCAGACCTATTGCAGTGGTAAGATGAGGATTTAGCACCTGGATGCAGGAAGAGGCACCGTAGCTGCAAAGATCTGTTAACCCACTGTCTGGTTAATCGGTGGAACAACTAAGTTACTCGCCAGTTAAACAGAATAATGTGCAGATTCTCTTGAAATGGGGCGAACGCGTCGATCAGTTAAAGATCTTGACATCACAAAAAGCTGAGAACATGCGATTTTCCTGTGACGTAAATTTGACTGTGACTAATAGGCCAAGGGTGTTCCAGCCTTTTGGCTTCCTCTGGGCCACACTGTCATCTGGGAAGTTCACACCCAAGGGCTGCGAAGTTGAGTTATGAAGGGAAACAGAAAACAAAACAAAACAAGCCTCACGATCCTCAAGTAAGTTATGGTTTCGGTCTTGTGTTGCATCCCTGGGTGTTCTCAGTAGAACAGGCACCAGTTGGATGCTCCCAAAGGAGATGTAGTGAGATACTTGATTTTAAGTCTGAGACATCAGAAAGCCTTGGCATAGACATCCCGGGTTTTTTTTCCCTAAGGTTCTCAGACGTGCCCTTGAACCCTCATTCTCATTTTGGCTTCCGAAGGGCCATGTCTGTAGGGTGTGGGCGTGTGGCCTTCCCAGCTGGTGGGGTCCCCCTAGGTCTGTTCGGAAGTCAGCTGAGCATCTCACCGTTGTGGGATACGGTCCAGGAGTCTCTGAAGGCGGGAGAGTGTCTGCTCGATTCCTGGCGGACCTGGCAGGGCAGTGAGGACGGGGTTTGGTTACTGGTCACAAAGGCTTGCCCTCATCCACACGGGTGCCGTCCTGGCCACACTCACCTCCTGTCCTTCTCTTCGGAACACCCTCCCACAGCACAGGCCCTGGATCCTCATGGTCTATGGAGTGTGGGCCTGCTGGTGTGTCCTGGGGGCTCCGGGCGTGGTCACCGTCTTTCTCCACACCACCATCGCCTTCTGCGTGGCCCAGTTCCGGTCAGTGCTCCTGTCCTGGCTGTGTTCTCTCCTCCTGCTCTCCACCCTGAGGCTGCAGAGTGTGGAGGAAGTTAAGGTAATTGTCTGCCTCCTGCACGCCTTACCGAAGGGCCCGGGAAAGGCTCAGATCCAGTAGCTGTCCAATCTTCACTCACAGAACAAGAAGTAGCTTCTCCGTGGGGGCTCCGCCTAGTGGCCATCCAGGGTCATTGCACGATCAGTCTCGGTTTTTAATGTCTGAGCCTTGTCAGGTTGTCCAGGGTCACTTTTTTTTCCTCCAAGTTTGGATGCTAATGGAGGATGACAGATGTCAGAGGACCAGAGGGATAGAAACAGTACTCCCATATACATACATGCATGCATACATGCATACATACATACATACATACATACATACACATATATATGCTTAACCCTGCCTGTTGAGTGCTCTGTGGTTTTTAGGGACCATTTTCACTCATCTTCCTTCTGACACACAGTGTCTACAATGGCCCCAAGACAGTCAGACACGTGTCTTTATTCTCATTGGACAGTATTACTTATCCACTCATATGGCTGGTCACAGAAGCGTTTTGTATGGAAAGTGTTTTCCCTTAAGGTCCCAGACCAAGCCTTGGCATCTTGACAGACACAACAGTTTGCCAGTTATGTGTTTGGAGGAGGTGGGCATTGGGCAAGAGGCAGTCTGTACGGCTGTTGAGCGGTCAACCTTGTGTGCAGCCAGCCCAGTCCCGTAGGGACCAAATTAAAACTCCGTCCTGTGTCTGGAGCTTGTGCATATACCCCCAATAACGTGTTTCTTTTGGTGCCCGGGGTTGGATCTCGGGTCCCAGATATGCAAGGCACCTGCCCTGCCACCCAGCTACGCTGTAGCTCACGCCGCTTTGGTTGCCGGTGGGATTCACTCGACACCGCTCTGTGCTCAAGTCTCTTTCACGGCTTCTGTCCTCGGGGAAGCCCAAGTCGGGGTCGCCATCTAGCCCCTGTGCGGATTGATGCTGCCTTGCTGCTCGCTCACGGGCTGTCCCCCCCCCCCCCCGTTGCTTCTGTAGAGGAGGTGGTACGAGACAGAAAACGAATACTACCTGCTGCAGTTCACCCTGACTGTTCGCTGCCTGTACTACACCAGCTTCTGCCTGGAGCTGTGCCGGCGGTCTCCACCTGCCCAGCGCACCGCCTACGCCTTCCCGTGGTTGCTGGCCTACGTCTTCTATTATCCTGTCTTCCACAATGGGCCCATCATCACCTTCCCAGAGTTCTTCAAACAGGTAGAGTCCTCTTGGTGGGCTGGGATGGTGTCGTGTAGGCCTGTGCCTCTTAGACTGTGAGTTGGGAACTCCCCCCCCCCCAAAAATGGTGTTGCATACTGAGTGCGGGGTTCACCAAAGGTTTGGGGCCAGTGAGAGGTTTATAAATATACAACCAAAAATCGCTCAAAGTCTAACAGGCAATGAACTGGTGGTGTTTCTGGCAATGGCCGCCCCCTCTCATGTTATGAATGTGGAGTAGAAAATGGCTTTAGACTGTGACACCCTCCTATGCCGTGCTTCCCAGAACACCTTGCTCAGGCCCCAGGCTATCCTGTATTGTGAGCTGCAGGCTTTTAAGAAACAGAATGGTGTAATAATGAAAAACAAAGACTTTAATATCTTTCTGCATCATTCCTCGGGATGTGAGTACTGAGTTAGTCTCTTTGGACTGGATTGCATTAGAATGTCTGACTTTGAACTTTTTGCTTATTTATATGTGTGTGTGTGTGTGTGTGTGTGTGTGTGTGTGTGTGTGTGTGTGGTGTTTGTGCGGGCACACATCTGCTACAGCATGTATGTGCAGGCCAGAGGACAACTGTAGGAAATTGGTTCTTCCCTGTTGCCTCCAGGATATGGGCAAGTGTCTCTACCCACTGAGCCATCTCACTGGCTCAGTGTTTGGTTTTAAAAGTTGCTGTTTGGGGGCCGGAGAGATGGCTCAGAGGTTAAGATCACTGGCTGCTCTTTCAGGGGTCCTGAGTTCAATTCCCAGCAACCACATGGTGGCTCACAATCATCTACAATTCAATCTGGTGCCCTCTTCTGGCATGTAGGCAGAACACTGTATATGTGATAAATAAATAAATCTTTAATAAAACGTTGCTGTTTGATTTGATGGCTAGAGTTTCTAGCAAATCGTATTTGAATGAATTTTATAATAACTTTGAAATGGCCCTGAAGATACTTCTGCAAGCCTATCTTGCCAAAGGAATTTTTTTTTTACTTGAACCTGGGTGTGTAGATATAAAATAGGCATATCAAACTCTATTTATTTTAAAAGGATTATCTGTTATACATACAGTGTTACCTTTCACTAAAGACAGAAGCAATTTTGCATACTAATAAGTCGGATTATGTGATTTACACAAAGAATGAAGTCATGGTGAGCATGTGACAAGACCTGGGGTGTTGGCTGTGCTCATCTGTGCCTCATGTGTCTCCCCGCTTAGCTGTGCTGCAGACCTGAGTACATGCTTATCTAGCTTTGAAGTACCTCTCAGGCTAAAGGGGGGCCGGCTCTCAAGGGGCAGTGTCCACTTGGCTCATACCTGGCTACCGTGAGGTTTGGGCGATACCCACTGACAGCCACCGAAAGCCACTGCAGGGAAGGCCAGGGAGGAGGAGGCTGGATTCTGACATTTCACTCGGAGACGTAGGGAGACAGACGCCTGCCTGTGGCTTGCAGATTGTTTGCCCTCTTACTCACAGAGTGCTCATGAAGCAGCCCTGTTGTGGCGTCGTTTGTTCTGGAGGCCAAGGTGAGAAAACAAACCTAGTTGAAGCATGTTGGCGGGTGACACGTGTTCTCACTCTGTCTGTGCCTTCTCTGCACAGCGTTCTTGTCTTAGAAATCACGTCAAGCCACCTTTGTCCTTCTACTTAGACTTCTCCCCCGACCCCCAGCTAATCTCCTGGGACATACTTAAGGGAGTTTAACCCACGTGTTAGTACCTAAAAGAGTGGTTTTCAAGGGACGTTACAAACCAAAGCACCGCCATCTTGAAGAAGAAAATATGTACAGACACACATAAACATACATGTATACACAACAATGCATGTAACATGTGTACAACACACAGGCACACACAGCACATCCATGGAATCACAGATGTATTCACAACACATGTATGCACATGTGTACATACAGTACATGCTTATAACCGCATATAACACACGGGCCTGCACATGTGTTTAGCACACCTGTGCATGTATACATACAGCACACCACACACACACACACACACCACATTGCCTGCATTCATATAGCTCACACATTTGTGCACTCACTTACAGCACACACACACATGCATGCACTCACATACAGCACACGCATGCATGCACTCACATACAGCACATACGTGCATGTACTCATGTACAGCACACACATGCTTGTACTCACATACAGCACACACGTGCATGCATTCACAGACAGCACACATGTACATTGCACATGTACTCACAGACAGCACACACGTGCATGCACTCACAGACAGCATGTATGTGCATGCACTCACATACAGCACACACGTGCATGTACTCATGTACAGCACACACATGCTTGTACTCACATACAGCACACACGTGCATGCATTCACAGACAGCACACATGTACATTGCACATGTACTCACAGACAGCACACACGTGCATGCACTCACAGACAGCATGTATGTGCATGCACTCACATACAGCACACACATGCTTGTACTCACATACAGCACACACATGCTTGTATTCACATATAGCACACACATGCATGCACTCACATACAGCACACACGTGCATGCACTCACATACAGCACACATGTGCATACATTCACATACAGCACACACGCACATGCACTCATATACAGCACACATGTGTATGTACTCACAGACAGCACGCACGCACATGCACTCACATACAGCACACACGTGCATGCACTCACAGACAGCACACACACATGCACTCACAGACAGCACGCACGCGCATGCACTCACATACAGCACACACATGCATGCACTCACATACAGCACACACGTGCATGCACTCACATACAGCACACACGTGCATGCACTCACATACAGCACACATGTGCATGCACATGCCTGGAAGTGTGGTTTAAAGCACAGGACCAGAGTCGTTGCTATTTCTATGACAATGTGAAAGATACCCAGTGAGGAAAAAGAAAGGTTTTTGGAAACTGTTTACTTCATCTTAAAAACTCCAGAGCAGCAACAGCAGCTTTCTAGACTTGCCCGTGAAAGGACAGGCCTTTTCCCTGAGGACATCTTCTAGTGTCACTGGTGCTCCTGGCTGGGGTAGGCTTGCTCCCACTTCAGTCTGGTTCCCCAGGATCATTCCTTGGACTCCAGATGATTTTAGATCTGCATTTGAGATTACTCTGTAAAAGACATGTGGGCTAGAGATGGAGCTGACCTCAGAGCATGGTCGCTGGTCTGCAGTGTCAGACCTCAGAGCATGGTTGCTGGTCTGTAGCTGACCTCAGAGCATGGTCGCTGGTCTGCAGCTGACCTCAGAGTGTGGTTGCTGGTCTGCAGCTGACCTCAGAGTGTGGTCGCTGGTCTGCAGTGCCAGACCTCAGAGCATGGTTGCTGGTCTGCAGCTGACCTCAGAGTGTGGTCGCTGGTCTGCAGTGTCAGCACTATCAGGGACTTGCGATGAGAATTCTCAGGCCCTACCCAGGCCTGTGACTGACCAAGCCTTTGGGTTGGGACTCAATGTTGTGGCTTGCCAGGTGCCCCAAAGGGTGACTCTTGTTCTCGGGGAGGCTGAGAGCCACTGTCCTGAGTTTGTCTGAGGATTGGGGTGGAGGCAGAGCTGGCACAGGATTGGCCGGCTCAGACCTTCCGCATCCTGCCTCTTGCCGTTTCCTTGACATTGTGAACTTGGCTTCTTCCCAATTTTCCAGCCAATAACTTTTGAACTAAACCTCGGCACCATCCCTCCCCTGGGATGGATAGTAATTCTTGGGGAAGTAGACTAAAGCCACCCAGAGGAAAGAGACTCTCCCCAACCGCGTCATGCATGGGAGCTTTGCCCAGTGGGAGCTGTGCTTTGTTGGGATGCAAAGCCATTCTTCACATTTATCATCTCCTCCTTTCCAAATGCAGCCTTTAGGATCCAACGGGAACAGTGGCAGCGTGTAGTCAGGCCCCGTGCCTGGTCCTCGGGACCAGACTGGAGGCTGTGGTTAATCCAAACCAAGGACTGCCATTCCCCTGAGCTGCAGTCTAGAGAGCATGGCTGGGCTCACTTCTCGGGCATTAGTCTGGAGAGGATGGGTGGGCTCACCCTGTAGAGGCTCAGGGTCTACTCGGGTCTTATTTCTTTCTGATATGTTCCAATTGCTAAACGTAGGGACTTTGGAAGGGCAAGTCAAAACCTTCCTCTAAGGCCTGCCTATATTCATTAAAGCCATTCCAGAAAAATAAAATGCTCAGTAAGCCACAGGACAAAATAAATACTGAGTGAAAAGCCAGGGAGGGCCTGGGGGAGGTGGCCCAGTGGGCAGGGCACTTGCTTTGCAAATGTGAGACCTGAGTTCAGAGCCCACATAACGCCAGACAGGCAGTGCACATCTTCAATGCCAGGGCTCGGTGGACTCCCTGGAAGCTTGTGGTACAGCTGGACCTGTGTACCCAAAGGCGAGCAAGAGACCCCGTCTCAAGCTGGAAGACAAGGACCAACACTTGAGATTGTCTTCTGACCCCTTCATGAGTGTGAAGACATGTACGGTCCTGCACTCACAGGAACACACACACACACACACACACACACACACACACACACACACCACACATTATACTCACAAAGAACAAAAAAGCCATGTGATTTCTGCATTTGCCGAGGGAGCCTGTGGGCGCGCTCCTCCTCCGTAATGGGGTAATTTAAGAGGGAAAGACTGGGAAGAGAGGAGAGGAGGATGAACATTAACACGGAGGAACTCAGGCAGTGCTGTGTGGATGAGCAAGAGGAGGCTTCACCACCAGGGGGCAGCAGCGTCTCACGTGGAAAGGAACCCAGAAGGGATGAGCGTGGGGTCTAGGTGGGAATCTCAAGTATTAAAACGAGAGAGGAGCACCTCTGCAGATTACACGCTACTTCAAGTGTTAGCACATACATTTACATGTGCCAGTGAGGGAGGCGTGGAAGAGGTGTCCTCTATGCTGCGAAATATTGGCTCGCCATACAAGACACCGTTAGTTACTTGCCACCCGGCCTCCCTATTGCCTTACCCGGAAGGCCGTTCCTGGCCCGCGGAGTGTCGGGGAACCCAGGCTTCAGCGGCTTCCCTGCTGTCCTTCTGGGGAGTTAAGATACTGAACTGCCGTGAGGCAGAGTCCAGTGGGGCCCGGGCCAAGCAGGGTGGCCTGCTGATTTGCCTTGCTGGAAGTCTGGGGCCTCAGAGCCTTCCTCGAGTGGTGGAGTCTGCAGCGGGGACTGGATAGGGTGACAGGCAGGCTGAGTGGTGTACTTTGGGACTTTGCTGGCCAAGGCCGTGTTCCCCACCCGTTGGAGACAGTGTCCAAGTGGGGTCCTCAGTACGGAGGGGTCCGGATCCCTGTTCTGTTTAGGCGAGCTGCCTTTTCTGTGGGATGAGGAGGTCAGCAGATCGCTGTGGGGAGCCCGTGGTCCCAGGAAGTGATGAGGCTTGACACATGGAGGCTGTCACCCTCACACCCGCTGCTACTGTTATGACTAGTCAGAAGCATGTGGCAAGTTCGGGGGAAGTTTAGGCTACCACAGAGGTCCCCTCCTGCCCACCCCTGTGTCCAGCCTGATGGGCACCCCAGCAGAGGGGTCCGAGCAGTGGCCATCCTTGGCCTCTGAAGAAGCCGTTGCGTTAGGCTGTCGGAAGGGACCAGACAGTCGCCGTAGGCAGGGTGTGCCTGGCTGAGAGCAGCAGTCAGGGTGGGTCAGGAGGTCGGTGTTGGTGTCTCAGAAATGCTGCGGAGAGCCTGGGGCCCCTGGGTCTGGAGATCACCCGCATGACACTGATTGCAGAGAGAAGATGAAGTCAGCTCTACAGCTGCTAGTTCATGTAAGCTTCAACTCCCGAGAGAGGCGTGCAGAGGGCAGATGGAGCAAGGGCAGGCTCACGGAAGGCAGGCTGGGTGGATGGAGTAAAGACAGGAGCACCAGTTGTTAGGGTGCTTACTTAGCATACATACACTAGGCCCTGGAATCCCAGCCTGGGAAGTAGAGACAAGATGATCAGAAGTTCAAGAGCAAGGGCCGGGGAGATAGTTCAGTAGGTAACGTGCTTGCTGTGAATGCATGGGGGCCTGGGTTTGAACCCCCACAGCACACAAAGGATGGGTAAGCCAGCGCACCTATGTAACCCCAGTGCTGAGGGAGGGCAGGTGAGTCTTGGGTGCCATAGGGGTATAGCCCAAATAAGGGCAGTGAGAGGCTCTAACTTAAAAAAAATAAGGTAAACAGTGCTGGAGGAAGACAGTGGGCACTTGCCTGTGGCTTCGCAGGTGCACGCGTGCATGCACGTGCGCGCGTGCGCCTGCACACACACACACACACACACACACCCATCCTTGGCTACATAGTGAATTTTGAGATATTGCTTTGAAAATAGAAAACAAAAAAACAAAAAACAAAGACACACCCTTGTCACACTGACTTGGTGTGGCAGGAGCTATCGAGGACAGTGTCTGGCAGGTATGAGGGCCTGGTGGCTCTTGCTGTCTAGACCAGGCGCTGGCTTGCAGCATCAGCAGCATGAGTTGTGAATTGGTCGTCTTCCCCAGAGAGAGCTGTGAACTTCACTGGCCCTGCTGTGGGTGGCTGGGTTCAGCCACCAATGCTGGGCTTGAGTAAGAACCTTTTCGTAGAGCATAGGCTAGGGACTTGGGTGATACAGAGAAGCCACCCCGACTCTGAAGGAATACAGCTTGGGTCCACGCGCCCCTGGACCCTGCAGAGGGGCCAATGAGGACACTGGCCCCAGGAAGGGCCTTTGTTGCTTTCAGATGTGCGTGTGACTCCTGTGGGAAGGAAGGACCTTTCATCATTGACAACTGTCATCTTCAGTCTTCAGAGTATCTTTGAGGGAGGAAGGCGACATTCCCTTTTATGCAATTTGCATGAAATGAGGTTTTAAATCGTAATGCGCTTTTAAAATACAGTTGTCAGACGGGTTAATGAGTGTTTTCCAGTGGCGTCTGGGCTTGAAATTCCCACCATGGCAGCTTCCAATGATCTTAAGGTTGACAGTCCCCTCGGCTGGAAACACCTCAAATGGAATGCTTTCCGAGCAGCTCTGAGGATAAGCACTGTGCAGCAGCCTGTCTCTCCTGCTGTGAGACAAGGGACAGATGACTTTGAATAAAAGGCCCCATTACACTGATGTGTACCTTCCAGAAAAGGCAAATGACTACTCGTGCGTGCATGTGCCTGCACGTGTGTGTGTGTGCGCACGCGTGTGCATGTGAGTGTATATGCACGTGTGTGAATATGCATTTGTGTACATGTGTCACATGTGTGAGTCTGTGTATGAGTGCATATGTGCACATGTGTGTGTTCTTGAGCATATGTGTTTACAACAGGGTCTCTTGTCAGCAGCTTTCCATGTAGGCTAGGCTGACTGGCCAGGGATGGACCCTCCTGTCTGCCTCCTCAGTTCTAGGATTAAGTGTGTATAGCCATGTCTGACTTTTATGTGGGCTCTGGACCATACTTGGGTCCTCCTGTTTTATTTGACAAGAGTTTTACTCACTGAGTCAAAGTCCCCTGATGACCCTCCGCCTTTTCTCTTTTAGGCAAGGGTGAATTGACAGGAGTTGGTTGAGGACCTTTCTGTGTGCACCTGTGCAGTTAAGGAATCTGCATTTCTGTGGCTCCAAGTATGGAAGCACATCTATCAAAAGGAGCACTACAGGAGATGCTCTGTCTTTCCTGGCAGTGGTGGTACAGACATATTCTTCAGAAAGTCAGTAGGAAAGGATTAGTTAGGTTCTTGGGAAGTAGGTAGGTCATTATCAAGAAGCCAATCAGCTACCAGGTGAACTTCACACTTTTGATTCATAGACGTTCGCGTCATTTTGAAGTGCCTGTGGTTTGGGGACATCCAGGAGGGCCTCCAAATTGGCCTTTTGCTGAGAGGCAAGCTGGGAAGGTGGATTGTCTACCATTGCCCATCTGTTGTCTCTGTTCACCAGGTCGGGCCTGTACACCAGCAAGGGCCTAGCACCCCCAGATGCAGGCTGGGTTTCTGGGGACCTGAGCTGCAGACTGTGTGCCCAGCACCTGTTAGCAGCTGGACAGATTCAGCTGTGTGAGCATTGCTGTCTGCCAACACAGCTCTGAGGCTGCTAACATTTTCGTCTAGACAGCTTGCTTCTGGATGATGCTACCATCTCCATCTAGAGGGAGCTTGGAGCCTCCTCATGTTTTCTCAGTTGACTTTGTGTGGATTCTTACTGCCTTGGTGTGAATCCACAGTAAGGTGACCCCACAGTGGGGTGACCCCCACAGCTAGGTCACCATGGTAGAAGGGGTTTTCTGATGGCTTCAGCTGCACACCAACTCTAGTGTGAAATTCTGAAATGCTGCAAGATTCCAAGGGCTTTTGAGCAGTGTCTGGGATGCTCGGGCGGTATAGAGTCTGGGGTGCTCGGGCGGTACAGGGTCAGGGGTTCTCGGGCGGTACAGAGTTGGGGAAATATCCAGAACCCCAAGATCTGCAGTGCTTGAACCAGATAATAGATGCTTAGGGTAGCCACCTTCTGTGTTTCTGTCCATAGACAATGGAGACACCTACTTCACCACATTTGGTGTGGGGCTCTGCTGTAACACTCCCCTTGTTCTGGGGCTCCTTGAGGAAACAAGGAGAAGCCATGTAGCTGCTAGTGACGGCTGCTAACACTTTAAACGTGCAGGTGCTGGACTTAGCACTCACCCTTCAGTTGTGCAGGTGCTGGGCTCAGTACTCACACCTAACCACCACCACCACCACCACCACCACCACCACCACCACCACCACCACCACCACCACCACCACCACTATAATTTTCACTTTATTTTAAGGAAACCCAGACCCAGGGGGTTGATCATGGAGTTGTGTGGTTGATGCCAGGATCCTGCCTATCTCCTCTGAGTATTTATTCTGTTCTTTTTTGTTTTTAAAGGTAGACTGACAGGCATCCTTCACCCTTCCACCTCACTCACACTCCATACCCGGCCGTCCTCTCCTGTATCTGGTGTTGCCTCAGGCTTGAGTGAGGGGATGAGTGGGAACAGCCAAAGAGAGGCGCAGTTTCAAGGGGGCAGAACACCCGAAATCCTGGCCCAGCCTGGGCTGTCTTGGGTCAAGGCTGGGGTGGAAGGGTGCAGAATCTGGCACTGTTCCTGGCTTTAGGGTACTGCACGTTGCCACACCCGTTCTTGTTCTGGGGCTGTTTCCCAACTGGGGGGTAGCTTTCCTACCCAGGAAAACTGGGTGTCCTTAAGGCAAGCAAACTCCAGTTCATAGAAATGGCAATGATAATTTGTACAGACCTCATCAGAAGCATCACAGGAGAGACATCCTGCATGGCTTGGGACCGAGCACCATCTAACACCGCCTTCTCTGTTGTCCCCTCTCTAGATGCAGCAGCCAGAGCTCAGCTCTCCGAAGCACAGCCTTGGCATTCTAGCCAAGGGCCTGGGCCGCCTGCTGTGCTGGTGGTGGCTGGCAGAACTGATGGTCTGCCTCATGTACATGCACGCCCTCTACAACAGCATCCCCCTCCTGGAGAGCGTTTCCTGCTGGACTTTAGGTAACCATGGGAACCGCCACCAGCAGGACCAGAAACAGCTGTTGGGTCTAGAGAGACCCTGTCCTGTGGGTGTTTGGGGTGCAGTGGCCCAGAGCCAACCTGCTTTACTGTTTAACCTTACTCCTCTTGTGGCCAAGGTTTTACATGCGTGGGCTGCTTGGTGTAGTTGATGGGGGTGTGCGTGTGTGCCATGTGAACTGAGAGTCAAGGATGAGTGACCCCCTCCTTGGACTGGAACCGACCGAGTATGGCTGGACCGACGCCTTTACCAGAGGCAGCATTGAATAGCAGGAGAGAGTGGAGCTGCTGGCTGGCACAGGGGGCTGGCTGTTCTGAGGGCTGGTGCTCCGAGACCCAGTCAGGCTGCATTCTTCCTTTTCCCATGAGCTTCAGAGTTGTGGAGGTTTAGGCTCGTATCCCAGCTTTCCCAGCCAAGGGTGGGCAGCCTTTGGTGGTGCTAACACCTGTCTGGACACCTTCGTCTCAAAAACAAGGCTTGCCCTCGAGGAGCTACTTTGAGGGTTCAGTGAGATGGTGGGCCTCATGATTCCTCTTGTAGATACAGTAGATGGTGTGTGTGTGTGTGTGTGTGTGTGTGTATGTGTGTGTGTGTGTGCATGCAGTGTGCATATGTCCAGTAGATACAGGAGATGGTGTATGTGCATGTGGTATGCACATGTCCTATAGATACAGTAGATGGTGTATGTGTACATGTGTGTGTGTGTGTGTTTGTGTCTGTGCATGCAGTGTGCACATGTCCAGTAGATACAGGAGATGTGTGTGTATGTGTGCATGCAGCATGCACATGTCTAGTAGATATAGTAGATGGTGTATGTGTACATGTGTGTGTGCACATGTCCAGTAGATACAGTAGATAGAGTGTATGAGTGTGTGTGTGTGCTTGTGGTGTGCAAATGTCCTGTAAATACATTAGATTGTGTGTGTGTTTGCATGTGGTGTGTACATGTTTTGTAGGTACAGTAGGTGGTGTATGTGTGTCATGTGGTATGCACATGCCCTGTAGATAGAGTAGGTGGTGTATGTGTGTGCGTGTGGTGTGTACATGGACCTGCATTTCTCTGTTGGTCTCTTTTGCTTGCTTGCATCTTTGTCTATCCTGCAGCAAGGTGGAATGGTGGTCTTATTTTCCCCAGAACAGTCTCCAGTTGTAGGATTTGTCTGTGAGGAAACTATTGTCCTTTATTCCTTTGCCCCTAACAGCAGGGGCCACACATTCTGATCTGATCTCAATCTTCCTTCTTACTTGTCCTGTTCTGTTCCTTTGAGGACTCCCGTCTTCATCTGTTGTCTGACTTCCAGACTTCAAGAGTGCATGCATGTGTGTGCCAGAAAGAACTCCGTTTAAGTGTGTGTGTGTGTGTGTGTTTGATGCTCCAGGCAGATTAAGCTGCTGAAGGCAAGTGTATAAGCCTGTCTGCTTATATGCTGGGTGATTTATAGGTTTTTCAGAATCTCTATTGTCCTTGTCACATGTGCTTAGTCAGAATGTCTCTGAGACAGGAGCCTCACAGGACCCAGAAAACACTGAGATGTTTTAATAATAACCTTTTCTTTCTGAGTGGATTTAAAACCTCAAATGACATTTTTGCAGATAGTAACAGCATTTTCTTTGGTATGGGGGATTCTTAAGAATTGTTTTTATCAACATGTCCCAATGGCACACATCCATGAAGCACAGTGTGATGTTTCAGTGCGTGTTCACCATGTGCTGATGAAGCCAGGGTGTCTGTCTCATTGTTTCAGGCTCCTCTCCTACACATGGTTGTAGCTGGAGGTCACTAATACCGTTAAGTTTTAACCATACAAGGAGACCAACAGGATAGGACTGAAGGTTTATCTATAGAGTCAGATTCCTGTTACTGAGCCTGCTTCAGCTTAAGGATGAATGGTGGAAAACAACTCAAAATGTGATTTAAATAGCAAAGAAACATTGTCACATGTGCCGGTCACACCTAAGAGCAGCATGGGGAAAAGATTCAGTGACTCAGATTCAGCCAGGGAGCATCCTCACCTGGCTGAAGAACTAACTAGAATTTCACAAGTGCTTTGTGACCAGAACCCACTGACTTTTCTCCCTAGCTCTTCAAAGATAACGTGTGTGTGTGTGTGTGTGTGTGAGAGAGAGAGAGAGAGATGGAGAGAGAGAGAGAGAGAGATGGAGAGAGAGAGAGAGATGGAGAGAGAGAGAGAGAGAGAGAGAGAGAGAGAGAGAGAGAGAGAGAGAGAGAGAGAGAGAGAGAGAGAGAGAGAGAGAGAGAGAGAGAGAGAGAGAGAGACAGAGAGAGAAATATTCTGGTCTCTTTCATGGTACTTAGACCATAGTTAAGTTCCAGCAATTGCATATTTTAAAATGTTGTCATCTAAGCAGGTTCACACTGTTTTTCTCTGAGATGTGACCTTTTGGGTTGGAAATGTTTCTGAGACACATCCTTATTGATACACTGTAGCAGTTACTTCTCTATTGCTGTGATAGAACACCACTACCAAGGATTGATACACTGTAGCAGTTACTTCTTTGTTGCTGAGATAAAACACCATGACTAAGGCACCTCACAGACAACAGAGTTTATTTTGGCTTATGGTTCCTGAGGGATCCTTCATATTGGGGAGGCAGGGCGGCAATTGACAGGGATGGAGGAAGGAACAGAAAATTAAACACCCACATCTTGACCGGAAAGTACAAAGAGAGAGAGAGAGTGAACAGGAAGGGCACAAGACTATACACTCTTAAAGCTCACACCCAGTGACATGCTCCCTCCAGCAAGTATGCATCTCCTAAATCTCTCCAAAGAGTAACACCAACTGAGTACCAGGTTGTTGGGCCCCAGCCCCCATGGATCTCTGGGCATTGCTTGTCAGCTGATAGCCACAGGTGCATCCTGTTCTCTAGTCCTGGTTTGCAGCCCTAGCCTTGCCCCACTGACATCAACATCTAGTACAAGGAAAACATGGGCTCTTAAACCTGGAAGTTTTCCACTGTGCTGTAAGTCTGTATATAAGGCTGCTCCCTCCTTGCAAAAAAGGCATGCAGGCATGCACAATCACTCTCTTAGCACAGACGGCCAGGATGGCTCATCTTTTAGTTAAATCTCTAGGCTTTGGCCCGATATGTTAGACTTGCATGTGGCATGGGCACCACACCAGGTGTTCAAATTTGAGACATTTCTCATTCTGACCACCATGCACATGTATGGTTCATCACCTGCTTCTGCTGGTGGACATCTTTCCAGTGAGTCCAGATGTCATGTGTATCTTTCCCACAGGTGTGTGTGTGTGTGTAGCTTTGTGTTTTCCCGGGGTTTGCTCTGCCGTATTTGCATTTCTGAGACTCCTGGGGCTCACATGTGTGAGTTTCCCTGTAGGGCAGTAGTGTTAAACACTGGGACTTGTTGCACAATAAGGGAAGCACTTTGCATCACCCTCCCCCCCCTCAGAGGTAGTGAACTCTCACAAGGCAATCCTCTATTCCACCGATAGTGTGTTCTGATGTTCTGTTTCATATTATTAGATGCTGGCCAGGAACCAGCCTGCTGGCCAAGCCCTTCCAGGGTGTGTGAGAACCTGCTCTTATGCATGTGCCTAGACAGGAAATGGCTGGCTCCCATGCAGGACGGACACTCAGACTTACACACTAATACCAAATCAGTGTTCTGGCCAGCTAAGATGCCTTTTGCTCCTCTGCGCAGGGTTTGAGTTTCTACTGCTGTATCTCATTGACACTTGACTTTGGCTTTTGGTTTTGAAAGTCTGATGAATATGAATTATGCTGTGGCTTCTATAGAAATGCATGGGGCCAAATGGCTAGGGACCAAAACCTCTGAAATTATGTGAGAAAACAAATCTTCTGGTCATGACTGCAAAGTCAAACAATGTACTTCACACCCATTTAAGGTCAAGTTGTGTTTTGCACTCATCCCTGTAGTTCAACCACGTGGTTCATGTGAAAATCATGACAACTTTGCCTTGGTCTTTACATTGAAATGAAGGATGTTATTGTCCCCCGGTGGCATCTATGTCCCAGAGAATGACCTCATCAGCACCCTTTCACACCTGATAAACCTACCAGCATTCTTACTGCCTGGAATCATTCTATTATTCCTCTATGATTTTCCAAAGAGCATCAGGAACGGGTGGTGTGGTGTTGGGGTTTCCAAACACCCCCTAGACAGGCAAAGCTCCCAGCTCCCACTACCACTGTACGAAGTAAAATTGAATTACCGATATATGCACCTGCACTGATAACCAGAGTTAGATTCTGTGGAGGTATTTTCTGCATAATTTCACTTTTATTTATAGCTGAATAGTATTCCACTGTGTATATGTACCACAGTTTCATCGTCCAGTCCATTCATCTGTTGAAGGGCATTTATGTTGTTTCCATGTCCAGGTTCTTGTGAATATAACAGCTGTGGACATTGCTGAGCAAGTATCTGTGGGGTATGATGTCGAGTCCTTGAGGCGTATGGCAGGGAGTTGTATAGTTGGGTTGTATGACAGACTTCTTTTCATTTTTTTGAGGATTTTCCACACTGATTTCCAGAGTGGATGGACTAATTTGCACATCCTCCAACTGCAAGGCTTTAGGCTGTAAACTTTCTCTGTAGCCCCTCCCCCTTTAAATGCAAAGATTTCTGCTTGGGAAGCTGAGAATTTTCGTACCCCCTTCTCTGTGTTTTGAGTTTCTTGCCCTGCTCCTTGACTCAAACGTCACTTTGCTCTGGGTGCAGATTTCGCGTCTGGAGGGCACTGCAGTTAGGTGGCTTTCCTACTGGTGACTGGTGGGAAGGACAGGCTGGCCCAGAGTCCCCGGGGTGTGGCTCTGCCAGGAGGATTTGTTGGGAGCTCCAGCTGTCTCCCCCACATCTTTCTGAGCTGAGCCATCCCACCAGACTGCCGGGGGCTTTGCAAGAGCCTTGCAGAGATCCCATTAGCTCTGCTATCCAGGCTACAGACCCACCACTTACACTCTGTGTGCTCAG